CCTCCCTCCCTCCCTCCTTTTTGGTATAATTAATTCAGCTTCTGCCATCGGTCCTTGGCACACAGGTTGTGATCGTGAATTCCAAGCCAACCGGAATGCACATTTTTCGCGGTTACAAACGCGTGCAAGGGCAAGGCTTTTTTGCCCGGTATTCCCCCGCCGTGAGAGCGGATACAAACGGCACACACGGTTGAGCGCTCCGTGTTCCCTCGAGCTGGCCGCGCTAAACAAAGGAGAACCGGGCGAGACCAGCCCCGGGGGGAGGGAGGGAGTGAGAGAGCCTCCTCTTCGAGGACGAAGGTAAATGCACCTACCGATCCCAACACCTCCGAGAAACACGGATAACGGATGCAATACACAACAGGTGGAGCACAAAGAAGGATCGCGAAAAAGTGGTTTCCCCTCCCACTTTGCGCGGGGAAATTTGTAATATCCGTTTTATAAATAACGATACACTGATCAACTGGGTATATTTGGGTAGATTTAATAGAAGAATAAGTGTGTCATACTGGCTGTTTGTTTTAAAAATAATAGAAAGGAGGGGAGGATATCTGGATGCTATTTTTGATTGCTATTTGTTGTATAAAAATGAGAACGAGAAGGAAGATATTCTGATGAGATGAAATTTGTGAATGGTATATATTATAGAAGAGAGAGCAGTGTTAGATTCAAATTTATTAGTATCTCATAATCTATAACATTTCACATTTTGATATTTGTTTTAAAAATAAGAGAGGGTAAAAAATAATTTGGTTTAGAAATTTGTAAGTAATATATATTATAGAAATAAGAGAGAGTATATCTAGATGCTATTTTTAACTATTTGTTGTATAAAAATGAGAAGGTATTCTGATTTAGAGGGAAGGAGATGAGATTTATGAATGGTATACATTATAGAAGAGAGAGTAAATAGCAGATTCAGTTATCTAAGTAAATCTAGAAGAAGAATGAATATGATTTTGGTAATTATTTTTTGTAAAAATGGGAGAAAGAGAGAGAAGACAGATATTTTGAATGAATAAGATGAAATTTATAAATGATACGGTTAGTTTGAGATATTCTAATTCAAAATTTTATATTTGGGCTCTCTTATATAAGTACTTAATAATTAAGTAAGATTTGTGGGTTGAAAGATTTTTGCAAATTGAATGTTGTAATCAAGCTTGTTACTCTTATATAATAAAATTTATTACCATCGTATGTCATAATCTAACATTTCACATTTTGATATTTGTTTTAAAAATAAAAGAAGGGGATATATTTTGGTTTTGAAATTTCTAAGTACTATATATTATAGAAATAAAAAAGTTTAAATAATTGAATATATCTAGATGCTATTTTTTAACTATTTGTTGTATAAAAATGAGAACAAGAAGGGAGATATTCTGATTTAGAAGGAAGGAGATGAAATTTATGAATAATATACATTATAAAAAAGAGAATAAATAACAATATCAGTTGGATTATCTAAATAAATCTAGTAGAAGAATGGATATGATTTTGATAATTATTTTTTGTAAAAATGGGAAAGAGAGAGAGACAGATATTTTGATTTAGAATGAGTGAGATGAAATTTATAAATGATACGTTTGATCTATTCTAATTCAAAATTTTATATTTGGGCTCTCTTACATAAATAATTAATAATTAATAAGATTTGTGGATTAAAAGATTTTTGTAAATTGAATATTGTAATCAAGCTTGTTACTCTTATATAAATTTATTATAAAATAAATAATACAAAATTTATTAGCATCGTATCTCATAATCTATAGCATTTCACATTTTAATATTTGTTTTAAAAATAAGAGAGGGGGAGGGAATATATTTTGATTTTCAATGAAATTTATAAGTACTATATATTATAGATAACTATAGAAGAGTAAATAATTATAGAAATAAGATATCTGGATGCTATTTTTGACTATTTGTTGTATAAAAATGAGAAGGGAAATATTCTGATGAAATTTATGAATGATATATATTATAAAAGAGAGAGTAAATAGCAATATCAGT